CCGCCAAAATTTGCTAAGCCCCCAAACTTCTCTTACTCCCCAATCCCTCTTTGTCTTTCCCTCTCCCTCATGCCCTAACCCTCCCCTCCCCTCTCCCCTCTTCTGGCTACTCCAGCGGCCCGACAACCGTAGCTCTGGAGACCTCAACACTCAAAGGTATGGTTGGATGCTCTTACTAGACATTTACATGAGGATTTACATTGCATTATGTTTTTTGCTATTGATATCCTTCTTGTGAATAGATCTATGGTGCGAATGCCTTAGATATCTTGGGTCTAGTGTTCTAGGTAATGGTGATGTAGAAGGGGATGTTATTAAGAGACTTCAACTTGGTTGGTTAAAGTGAAGGAATACTAACTAACAGGAAAATTTTATAAGATGATGGTGAGACTTGCAATGCTCTATGACACAAAATGTTAGTCTTTAAAAGAGAAGCATAAAATTAAGTTACGTGTTGCTGAGATGAGAATGCTTAGGTGATGAATGGCTTTACACTTAGAGATAAAATGTGAAATGAATATATCCGTGAAAGGGTTGGTGCAGCACCTATGGTGGAAAAAATGAATATTGATGGATGTATCGATTTGAGAGGTACAAAGTAAAAATTTAATGAATAAACTTTATAAAAATTACTTCATAAAAAAATTGTGAAATAATTAGATTAGAGATTTTTGAATAAACTGAAGTGAACTGTCAAGAATAAAACATGACCACAAGGATCCATATGTTAGACATATTTGCTGTAGAAGACTACCACTTTCTGCTCCTATTATTTTGTGCAAGAAGATCTCACGTCATTGAGTGTGGTGCCTCCCACAATACCTTTTGTTTTTCAGCTATTTAGTGAAGAATCAGGGAGATGTATATCACGTTATATCAATGATCAGGATCTTCGAGCAACGACACTTTATACTCTTCTAAATTGCGATGAAGTTCAACCCTTCATTTTCTTAGGTGAAAATATTATGATGGCTAACCCATGATTTTCGTCGTGGTAGCAGTTCATTCTTAGATTCGTTGTACTCAGTTAAAGATAATATCACAAACCAGGAGATAAAAAATAATTTTCCTAGATGGTTCACAACACATGTAAGTGTTTATCAGAACTATTAAACATATAAGATAATTGTTATTAGTTATCTTTAACAAAATATGATTATTTATGAATTACTAGATTCATGAACATAATAATGAAGTGGCGGATCAGAGCTTGCTAGATCTTGCCTGGAAATCCATGTGCATCATCAAAATTTGGCAAATTTATGATGTGAATGACTACAAGTTCATATGAGGTAATGGTAAAAAAGGAAAGACTTATAATTCTGGCTTTTATGTTAAAGCAATTAATAACTCAGGCTATGAGATAAATTATTATGGAATTCTCAAAGTTGTTGAACTATCTTATACAGGCTCTATTGGTGGGAGTGTATTTCTATTCAACCGTGGCCGATTTGATCCTATTCCTAAGCGTGAAACAAGGGTTATCCAACCGTATAATATCATAGAAGTTAAAAGCATAGGAGATATAGTAAATTTGATTCATTCAATTTAGTAAGACAAGTACGTCAGATATTTTATCTTTCATACCCCCATAAAATAAGAGACAAAGTAGAGTGGGCAGTAGTCATAGCCGGTAAACAGACAGAGGCTATTGATATTCAGAATTCCATTGAACCAGCTCATTAGAAATTAGAAATGATAGATTCATAAATTCCACTTGACACTATCAATGGAGGGGTAAATTTAGTTGATGTTGATTACGAACACAAATAAATTGATATCGACGGAGGGAGGCTGTCGACGGAAAGAAAATGGGCAGGTTCTAAAGTTTGGGGCTATGGGCACTAACATGTGATGCCTGGCCAACCACTAGCACATTCGATGCATCCATTTCCACTTCGCATGAGGAGATGCGTCATCAGGTTGTTGCTGAAGTTGCTGCCCAGGTAGCCGCCCTGAGATTGGAGACGAGGGCAGAGATCGAAGTGGTGTCGTGTTTGGAACTACAGAAAGGGAAGGAGCTAGTGCAGGATGAGGGTGGGGGTAATAATTATGAGGAGAGGACAGTGCATGATGAGGAGGATAAGTATGGGTTATTTTTTATTCAGTTGTGTATTGAATAATTTATTGTTAGCGAACATTATTTTTATTGTACAGTTGTACGTTTCATTTATTTTAATTTAATTATTTTTCTTTTATTTATGTATATGATTTATGTGTTAATTAGTTTTGTTAATATGTTGTGTTGCGTTTTAATTGATCTGTTGCGATTGTAAGTGTGTAGAATGTATCGTTCAAAAAGGGCTTTATATATTTTTTTCTGATGGTATATGTTTTCGACGGTATTACGACGGTTTATCGAACAAGCGACGGTTTTCCGACAGTCTATTGAACGGGTGACGTCTAGGCTAAGTGCTGCATTTTTTGCTACAAACAGAGCAGTTGGTAAATTCCCACAGTTAACCGACATTTTTCCGACCGAACTGCAACACTTTTCCAACGAATATTTTCGTCGATTATATAACTGACGATCAAGCTACGGTTAAATATGACATGTTTTTGAATCTATAGCGATGACTATGGTGCATTGGTTAACCGTCGATTAATCTAGACCGTGGTTAAATCCACCGATAAATTTAATTACCGACAAACGTTTTTGTTACGTCGACTCTGTCGTAGCTAAATCGTCGGTAAATACATCACATATGATTTATCATTTATTATCGATGATATTTGACCGTGCTTAAAAAATTAAATTCCTGTAGTGTAACATGTTACATTTGTGGGTCAATCCAAACTATTGATATGTAAATTGTTTATAACAATAATAATACAAGTTTCCACATGTCTATTATATATATATTTAATATATCCATTTTTCAAACCTAGAAGTTTGCTAACCATGAGGCACAATTATGCCTATACTGAGGTCAAATAGGGAGGGAATAATTTTGAATTTTATGCCTCAAAATTGCGTTACCCCACACGAAAATAAATTACCAAATATAAATTGTTTTCTCAAAAAATAATAAGAATATAGTGATATTGATTTCATAATTAAAAATAGTTATATTTATTTTGTACTAATTTTCTAAATATCATAATACAGTTTATTTAATTAGTAAAAAATCATATCATTATATTTGGTATAATTATGTTAAATAAGTCTAAAAATATTAAATTTGTGAGGAATCTACATACATAACATTCCATTCCTACTTATTTACACATTTAACACCTGAATTTTACTTTTTAAACTTATACAACCTAAATCTTTAGTACCATATAAAAATACAATTATTTAAATTTTAAAAAATGAAATATATATTTACATTTATATATAAGGTGACATATATTGTATACATAAAAGTGAAAATTTAAGGGCATTAGCTATGTAAATACATAAGAATTAAATACATGTAAATCTTTCTAAATTTATTTTGAAATTTGATGATTGCTAGAAATTCTAGAGTAGATTAGCATATTATCGTTGTAGAGTTATACGAAAATTCAACACACTCTGAGAAGAGAAAACAATTAATAATGACGCTAGAAGTTTTTACGTGGAAAATCCGAAAAGAAGAAAATCACGGGGCTTGACCCTGCTGAAGAATTTCACTATGAAAAGATGATTATAATTGAAACCACTTGTCTCACAACGTGGGAAAAAGTTACTAGGTTACCGAAGTCACAACGTCAACGTACTGATAAGTTGTTTCTAGGAATGGGCAGCAATTGATAGCGATTGACGACGTCCGGTTGACGGTGGTTCACGGTTGTTGGTGGTGATTGACGGCGGTCGACATCGGTCAATTGTTGTTGGCGGTGATCGACGATGATCATTAGTGGTCGATGATGATCGACAAAATTTGACGACGGTCAGCGATGGTCGACAAAGGTCATTGGTGGTCGACGACGGTCGCCAGCGGTGGTGCTGGACTTCAGTTTTTTTTCAAAGCTTATGCTCTTCCTCAGATCTCAAACTCTTATCCCCTTCATGAGAGCGGTTAGATACTATTTTTAGTGTTCTGGGTGCAATTAATACAGAAATATGAATCACTATGACCTTACGACATAAAGAACTTCCTTCGATCAGACAACATTTGATGGAGATTTGCGCGCATTAACAATGTCAGAATTGAGCAATCTTGTGCTTACTGGATTCGTCTTGTTGAGACACTCGATTCTACTATAGACTTGATAGATTTGACATTCGTTTGACCTTTTAAATATATCCAAAAAAACTTCCAATGGCAGTTTAATGCATGATCTAAGCTTGATTTGACTCCGATTAGATTAATTTTGATTTGATTGGATCCGTCCCGTTGAACTTCTAAGTCTGACTATAAGTTTATTGAATTCAGAGCTCTGGATAATTTTTTATCGAATTTTGAATATTCTCTGCCCAAAAAGTTGCCTCCAGATCTGTGTTATGACATGAGATTCATGACAAATGATAAAGATTCATTGGAGTCCTATCGAGATTAAAACAAAAAAGATTTTACTAAATTTAAATCTAGTATGATAAAATTTATATGTGAATAATGTAAAATTATTTTTTTAATAAAATAAAAGTCGTGTTTTCAAAAGGCAAATAATTAGTGTATGTTTTACTAAATGTGAACCAGCATGATATTTTTAGATGATACACAAAATTTGATTAATGGCCTGTTTTAGAGATAAGCCTATTTTTGGTTCCCCTATTTTATTATTTTGTACCTTTAAGTACTTTATATAGAAATTCTTTATAATTTTTATTTTTTCAAATTGTCATCTGAAAAAGCAGCTTGCTTAAACTGGCAGGAAAATGTTGTGAATGTTCTCACCGGTCGGTGCGCATATTCGAGTCATCCGCTCCCACTCGCCTAATTTATGTCCTGACAACGGTAGGGCACGTTCGGTAGTTTCACGGAAATCCATGGGTAATTCTCTTTTAAGGCTTTGGATATAAAATTATAAATACAAGACCGGTAGTACAATGAAACCACCTTATAGTCTGCCTCTCTCTATCTTGCACTGTCCGAGGGAGAAGCTGAGGGAGAGGGAGAGGGAGAGGGAGCTAGGGCGCCATGGATGGGAGGATGGGAGGGGAGAAGGGATTGAAGCTGTTCGGGGTAAGGATCGTCGATGAGGATAGGGAGTGGAGACAGGAAGGAGGTGGAGGCGGGGAGGACGATCCGGTGAAGCAGAGCATGTTGAAGAGCGTGAGCATGGTCGATCTGGGTACGTGCGTGGTGAGGGTGGCCGGAGAGCGAAGAGCCGGCGATCATGAGTACTTGTCCGACGGAGGGTTGGAACAGGCTTCGAGGAGGGGAGTACAAGAAAGAAAGCGAGGTGATCGAATGAATCCAACCCCTGTTGTCTGTTATAATTTGTTTTGTTTTTGTTTGTTTAATATATTAATATATGTTTAAAAGATATTTACGCGCAGCTGTTATATTAGGAACAATAACTCCTCGTTTTTTTCTCCGATTTCCCTATTTGGTTTCTTGTATGTTGTTCGAATTGGATTGTGCAGAAATCTCTAGGTTTTTCTATAGGAGTTTTATGGATGAGATAGTTCGTTAAGGGACTCGAGAATATCTGGATAAAATTAATTTAAAATTTGTGATTGATTTGTTTTTTGGATGTATGGGGATGCGCTATCACTTATTAGAATAAAGTGTTGTTTTTTAATGCAGTTTTTTTTCTTTTTCGGAGACTACTAGGTTGGTCGTTGTTTCTTATTCTAAGGAGTTGTTTGCATGTGGTTCTTGATTAATCTATGGTATATTTCTTGCTTTGATTCATCCAAGATTGAAATCAACCAACCAGATTTGAGCTGGGATAGTGATGCACAATGGGAATTATAGTTGGGGGAAAATTGAATGGCTTGCCTTTCAATTTGAGAAATCGGGCCGGGGAAGGAAAGGGAAAACTTGTGAATATAAAAGGAGTTTAATGGCTTGGTCTGACTTATGAAGAAGTTTGGATAAGAGGGAGAATCATAATAGAGATTATTAAATGGTGTCAGGATGATGTTAATTAATGGTGGAAAGGTGGTGAAGAACTTTGGGAAACTACTAGCCAGGGAAGAAGATTAGGGTTAGAAGAAGAGCAAGCATAACACAATTACATGGAAGTTATCTTTGCATGGAAGGGAGGGTTTGGAGGATGGCTCTATTGATGGTCAGAAAGAGAAAATATTTAATAATTGTAACAGTTAAATGTTGAAATAAGGAAAGGCACAATAGATGCAATTTTCAGTCAAATAAAGCATGGATCGGCCACCAAGCCTCCCAACAAGAGAATTCTTTCTCCAAATTTAATGACAAGCCAATGTGTCATTTTCATTTTAATTCCAGAAGTTTTAATATGTTTTTCAATCAAAATGAGCAATTAAAATTTGAAATAGTTTTAAAAGGTTGGATGGCGGTTTTATGAAGGTGTGCTTGTGGAGGGGATGTGCCTCTTCACTTCTAAGGTGGTGGAGAGGTTTGGGCAACCTCTTTCTTCCAATCATTCATAACAGCTAATAATCACTTTTTTTGAAATTTCAAATCACATCAAAGTTTCAATTACAGTTTACTTGATATCCTGCATTGATTTCCATAAACTTAAGAAATATAAACTATTCTCTGAAGAGTCAAACCCCTAATTTGCTGTTTACAAGATCTGATGTTATTGTACATAAGTCGTCCCTTATCATCCATGTTTTCTCAATATGTGGTTAATTTTACCATGACCTGGTTAGAAACTTTTGTGTAACATCATAATATGTAGGCAATTTATCGATAATGATATTTTTCACATAAAAAAAATGTTGGCACTTGCAAGTAATGATCATGATATTTTAATAAGAGATTATCTGGATGTTGATTAACTCCTTTATAAGATTAGATATCTTTTATACTGAAAATAGGCAATTAAACATATTAAATAGCAATTAAAGAAAATAAGCATCAAGTCTAAATTATTTATAATTTTAACAGATCCACATCTTCATGCTTAAATCCATGCATTTAGTAGACGTGTATCTCTCAAAATAAAGGCAAATCAAAACATTATCACCTTCATTATATTTCTGTGTAGTTATGTTTTGATTTATTTTATCAGCATATTTAGTGTTATTTTCTTCCAATTGTTACCTTACATCTTCTGCTGGAAGGACTTTAAAATCTCTTATAAATGAAAATGTTGAATATGGAAAATTCATAAAAAAAAAATGCTAATTGTTTCAATAGTTCTTCTAGGTTGTAGTCAAAACTTATTTCAAGTGATGTTTTCTTTATAGTTTTGGAGCATTTTTATTAAAAAACAAATTCTAAAGTTGAAAGATACAACTTTTAGTTACTCGGCTTTTTCTCAAAAAACATCGAGGTAAATTTTCTAAGGTTCCATTGACCACCTCAATCAGCTCATCAATTGAGAGTAACAAAAAGATAAAATTTTATGTTCATCCATATTAACTTTCATAACATTTTACAAGGATAAGAATTGAATTTCATATCCTTATTATCAAAATATGGAGGGCAATTCATTTAATTTAATATACTTTTTAATGAATAGACATAATTTGTTTTAGAGCAAGATAAAAAATGTACTATTTTATAGAATATTTTGACAACTATCAATATTTTGTTTTGGATTGTAGGGGTTTTAGGTAGACTGGAAACAAAATTCATAGAATTATCCTCCTAAGGACTATAAGGTATAGACATTGTAGAATGCTTTTGAGATTTTTGCAAGTTATTTTGTTTACCTACAACTATAGCATTCTGTCATTACTCTTTCAACATTTCTCCTTGGTGAGTGAAATTTAATAGTCTTAACCATTCCAAGATGTCATGTTACCATCCTTGATCTTGACACAAAAATAAGAAATTCTTTCGTTGAAGGTTTAGAAATACATAGATTGATATTTACCTTTATATGGATAACAAAACATAGGAAACTCACCAGAATTAAAGACTTTCTTACACTCATGATAGGTTTGATGGAAATTAGGGAAAAATTTATAATCTTTCATAAGTTTATCAAATTCAAAAATCTATAGTCCCAAGAAGTATTAAGAAGTAATTACCAATAGTACCTTAGAAAAACTATAAGATGATTTATTTCCTATATCGGGTTCATGTTTTCACACGGAAAAAAAAAATCCTATAAATTTAACACGCATACATGGTTATGATTTAGTTTCTATTTTGTAATTATAAACTTTAGAAAAATATGATAAATTTTAGTTTGTCTATGATAGCATAAAATTCTCTATCATAAGGAATATATATTTGTCAGGCATTGTTCAAGTGCTCTTTAAAGAAGAGAACTACATGGTTTTTTTGACTAAATATACCTTTTATGGTGACACAAAAAATATTATATGTTGCCCCAATTGCTTCAGATAAGTTATGAACTTAATACATTAGAGTCAGAAACCTAATAGCTGGAGGGAAAATTATAACAAATTTTACATTTACCCTTTTGAGCAATTTTATTTAAAAAAAATTGTCTTTGTTTAGGTTGTCTATGATGGGTTTTACTAGATGGCTAAGTTCGATTATAATAATTAAGATATGAATACTTCCCAACATTAGTTATGTACTAGGCGCTGACCAATCAATTTTTGACTTTATCCAAGAAAGGTAACATTCAATCCACAACATGAGACTAAAAATTCAAAGAGATTAACTTATATTGCATGAAGACATCTCTTTGTATTAACAATTTATTTGGATTCCCTAAGTTTATTGAAGACAAAGTTTAAGTGATGTAAATGTATCGTTAATATTGCTGAAAGGTTTTTTTGTTAAAGCATTTTAAAATAATATTCACGTCGCTTATGAATGTGTTAGGTGTGTTTGATAAACTATAATGCGTCATTAATCATTTATAAAGTTCACATGGGATTTTGGAGGTTGTATTCCATTCATTTACATGCCCTATAATCAATTTTGGAAAAATAAGCTGCACCACATACTGGATCAAGCATGTCATCTAATCTAGGTATAATATACCTATAATAAATGAAAATTTTGTTGATAGCCTTGTTTTCATCACATATTCTTCAAAAAATATTTTCTTAGGAATGAACTACTAAACATTTTTTTTTTCAGCATGCTATGTTGAATGCATCATGGTAAGCTTGATAATTAAGAGCTAGGAATAAAATAAATTGTTTGTTAAATGTTATTCATAGGTGGTAGCTCATTAGATAAATTATCAGGTGAAATCACTAAGTTTAAATAATATATTTGTGATCAAAAGAAGTATGTGTATCTTAACTTGTATATGCATATCTTCTATCACATGGAGCAAGTGAAGAGAAGTTAAATAAAAAAAATAATTTTTTAAATTACCAAGATTTTTTCGCTGTGCTTTAATATTTTATTCAATTATTGGTGGAAAAACTCATCAATACTAAACTACTCATCAACCTCCTTAACTGTATTGGCTCCAATCATTATCAATAGTAATTTTGCATTTTTCTGGTGATTAGAACTTAATTGAATATTAGTGGTAGGCTTATGAGGTAAAGTTGATGTAGACTTTTCTACTGATTTTAATGAAGATAGCATAATGATTTTGTCCTTAACCTTAAATATATACATATTTTCTTTCTAGAATGGACTTCATTTTTATTGAAAAACAAAGTTCTACCTAATTGATGTGTGATATATCTCCATTGGAAGGACATCACATCAAACTTTATCTTCCTACCTTCCCATCTTAATAGATACCACTTACCAGCATTTACTTGTGATAGATAGAGAGCAAATGGTTTATCCAATTAACATGAAAGGGCTTAGTCGGGATTGGGTTAAACATTTGGATTTTCCTTTGTAAGTGTGTAGAAAGATATGAAATGCAAAATGTTTTCTCTATTTATCACCAATCTGCACTTGTTGTCATTATAAACAGCATACATGCTAATTTTTCTTTTTTCCATTTTTTAATTTTATGTTTAGTTACCATAAAAAACCCCATAACGCCTTAAAGCAGATAATAAATTCTCATACTTCTCAACGATTAATGTGAAATAAAAAGTTGTGGATCTTCTAATTCTATTTCTTTTCTAATATCCATTATAAGAATAATGGCAAGCTTAATTGCTCTTTCTTAATCAATATCATTGCCACGGATCCTAGCTACCAAATTCTAAAAAATTCAGCCTGTTAGCTTTTCCTGTTAGCTTTTAGTTCAACACTTATCCAATCAATTTCTCTCTCCCCTTTTGATGTGCTTTTAAGGAAATATATGGCCAATGCTATGGAAAAAAATAAGAATTTATAACAGAGTGTAAAATTGAATTCACACCATCAAATCGAAGGTAAGTGTAAAGTCTGTGAAGATGTGGA